GCTTTTGGATAATCTTCAGTAAAATCTTGCTTGCATGTGAAATCAGTGAGATTGTTCTGTAGTTTCCACATTCTGTTGGGTCACCTTTCTTTAGGATAGGAACAAATATCAATCTCTTCCAGTCAGTTGGCCAAGTGGTTGTTCTCCAGAATTAGTAAAGGAGGAAAATCATCCAAGAAACTGCTTACACACACTCACACATCCTAGTACTCTGGCTTATATACACCCACTCACACATCCCTATTTAAGCATTTATTAAAACATAAAGTAAGTCAGGAAAAATGACAACACCTTGACCTTAAAACAGTACTCTGTTAATATCCAACTGGCATTTTCTGAACCAGAATGAAGGTGAAACTTATCAAAGATGCAATCAACTTTTGAGAAGGTCATCACCTAGGTCTCTTACTTGCTGATAATGTCAACTCAGAAAGGAGTTTAAGGGAGATTAAGGAGTGAGGAGGAACAGTGATTGCCTTCTGGGAAGGATTGAAAGTTTCAATTGGTACCTTTGAAAGTGTCTTTCATATTGAGTTAAAAGATTACCTAATGATGATTTTTATCATCTGTACAGAGGAATTTCATGTAATAACATATGAGCAAGAACCTATGGTGATGAAGGAGGAAGTTCAAGTTGCTATGAAGGAATTGGCAAAAAACAAGGCTCCAGGAGTTGACTGCATACCAATTGATTTATTTCAACAAACAGACGCTGCCCTGGATGTGCTCACTAAGTTGTGCAAGGAAACCTGGAGGACAGCCAGCTGGCCAACTGACTGGAAGAGATCGATATTTGTTCCCATTCCAAAGAAAGGTGACCCAACAGAGTGTAGAAATTATCGAACAATATCATTGATATCACATGCGAGCAAGATTCTGCTGAAAATTATCCAAAAACATTTGGAACAATATGTCAACAGAGAACTGCCAGATGTGCAGGCTGGATTTAGAGGGGGTCACAGTACTAGGAATATTATAGCTAATGTAAGATGGATTTTGGCAGAAAGCAGAGAATACCAGAAGAATGTCTATCTGTGCTTCATTGACTATGCAAAGGCTTTTGACAGTGTGGATCACAACAAGCTATGGCTGACTCTGAGAAGAATGGGAATCCCAGAACATTTGATCGTGCTAATGTG